TTATCTTTTTTGTTAAATCCGTCCAAAAACATCAGGAAGTGACTGTCCCCCGTCCAAGAGATGGTCTAGCACCACATAAAAAACCCTTTGTTAAACCACAACACATTCTTACACTCTTGTGTATGTACAGATTGAATAAAGGAGATTTAACCTAATTAGTCAGCTTTAGAGGTGCTGTAGGCACATGATGTGACCTTTGGACAGAGCCAGTCTAGCTGTTTCACATGGCTTCCAGTCTTTATGCTAAGCTACGCTAACTGCCTCCTGGCTACAGCTCCACAGTTAACAAACAAACGTGAGAGTGGTATCAATCTTCTCATCTAACACTCAGCAAATAAGCTTATTTCCTTAAAATGTCAAATGGTTCCTTTAAAGAAGACATATTCAATCTAAATAGTAAGATTTGAAGATTAACAATTTCTACACACCAAAACTTCTTCCACCTAAACCTTTTGTTGCTCATACATTATTATCATATATTCTTTTAAAAATGCTTTCTGTGTTCCAAACAAACAAAGTACAAATGAGTCAAGTTAAAGGAGGTGCAGCTTATTTTGTTCCTTTATTCCACAAGTGTTTAGTGCAACTAACGAGCTACAATAAGAGCTTGGTCGAGTGCGGACACATTCGTTATGTCCTTTTTCACAACCTTCACAAAGTCAGAGAATATTGCAGAATTAGTAGCAGTGCGTCCTGCTTTGCTTTGATGACATTTTGCCAAATTCAGCTTTTCACTGATAATTACTTTTGTGTTTTTGTGTGTGTGTGTTTGTTCGAGAGGCTCATTAGAAAGGCACTGATAGATACTGTACTGAAATAATTATTGCCCCCCTCCCAACCCCATTTAACAGATGATCGACATAGAAACAAGAGCAAGGGAGAAAATAGGTGAAGGAAGGAAAGAAATATTAAAAGAGAGGGAGAAAAATTGGGAGCAAGGCAGTGACAGTAAGAGGTAGATGGAGGGAGAGTGATGTCAGAGAGAGAGCAAGAGAGAAATTTAGAGAGATTTTACTCATTAAAAAGAGGAGCACAACAAGGGGAGATGGCATTAATCAGAGCTCCGCGCTAATGAGGCATTTACTCATTACACTGAAATAGAGAGAGGCCAAGGAAGAAAAAGAAAAGAGGGAAGAAAAGGGGGACGGGGTGAGAGAGGAAAGAGAGACCACGGTATAAATTAATTGAGTGGAGAAACGGAAAAAATTAAGTAAGAGGGAGAGCAATATGGATGTGGAGGGAGGATAAGTTGGATGTAAGCGGAGTACACAGAGTAGAAAGAGACCATGTTGGCACAGGTGTGGTTGTATAAGAACTGAATCTCTTTGGCACTATTTAAAGATCTGCCATTTGTGTTCTTTACCAGAATGCGTCACATTAAATCCTGATGGTTTGCTGTTGATAATTTGTGAGCTTTCCTATCTTTATGTGACTATATTAACTCCATCTTTTAAGGTTTGTTATATTTTATGGTTAATTTACCACATCAAAACCCAGCAAGATAACCACTGACAACACACTTTCTATGACCAAAAAGACGATGGAAGAAAATCAGAGTTTTATGGGTTTTTTTGCTGTTGATAATTTGGTTAAAAGATGTATCACCAGGACGCCCGGATAGCCCGGTAGAGCTGGCGCCCCATGTACCAAGGCTGAGTCCTTGCTGCGGCGGCCCAGGGTTTGAATCCTATTTGAGGCCCTTTTCCTGCTTGTCATCCCCCCTCTCTCTCTTTCTCTCTCTCTCCCCCCTTT